TTGTGTGGATCACAACAAATTGTGGCAAGTTCTTAAAGAGATGGGAGTACCAGACCATCTCATTTGTCTCTTGAGAAACCTATATGCGGGTCAAGAAGCAACAGTGAGAACTGGACACGGAACCATTGATTGGTTCAAAATTGGAAAAGGAGTCCGGCAAGGCTGTATACTGTCGCCCTGCCTATTTAACTTATATGCAGAGCACATCATGAGAAAGGCAGGGCTAGATTAATCAAAAGTTGGAATTAAGATTGCCGGGAGAAATATCAACAACCTCAGATATGCAGATGATACCACTCTAATGGCAGAAAGTGAAGAGGAACTAAAGAGCCTCTTGATGCGGGTGAAGAAGGAGAGTGCAAAAGTTGGCTTGAAACTCAACATTAAAAAAACCAAAATCATGGCATCCAGGCCTCTCAATTCCTGGCAAATAGATGGGGAAGAAATGGAGATAGCGACAGGTTTTATTTTTCTGGGCTCCAAGATCACCTCAGATGGGGACTGCAGCCAAGAAATTAAAAGACGCTTGCTCCTAGGGAGGAAAGCTATGGCAAATCTAGACAGCATCCTAAAAAGCAGAGACATCACCCTGCCAACAAAAGTGCGTATAGTCCAGGCCATGGTTTTCCCAGTTGCAATGTACGGCTGTGAAAGTTGGACCATAAGAAAGGCTGAGCACAAAAGAATTGAGACCTTTGAACTATGGTGCTGGAGAAGACTCCTGCGAGTCCCTTGGACTGCAAGGCGTTCAAACCGGTCAGTCCTAGAAGAGATCAACCCCGACTGCTCTTTAGAAGGCCAGATCCTGAAGTTGAAACTCAAATACTTTGGCCACCTAATGAGAAGGAAGGACTCACTTGAGAAGGGCCTAATGCTGGGAAAGATTGAGGGCAATAGAAGAAGGGGACGACAGAGAATGAGATGGCTGGATGGAGTCACTGAAGCAGTAGTTGTGAACTTAAATGGACTCCAGAAGATGGTAGAGGACAGGAAGACCTGGAGGAACGTTGTCCATGGGGTCGCGATGGGTCGGACATGACTTCGCAATTAGCAACAATTAGCATTGTTAAATTTCAGTTAAATTTCAGTTAAATTTTTTTGAAACAGTAGTTTTGGAACAAAACTGAGGATGCCCCTGAAAATATCTTTGAGAAGCTCACAAGCAAGATATGAAGGAAATAGCTATTTCATGAAGTTGTTTGTCAGCACATTTCTTTAGATTCTTGAGATAATATATGGCTCTCATCTGTAGCAGCTATTTATACTCTTATCCCCCATGAATGTTTCTTATCTGTTTTTAAAGTGCTATTTTCTGTTTTTGTCTGAAACAAATAGCTGTGTGTGTTGCATCCTTATAAGTATGATGCTTGGCTTTCCTAATTATGTTCATTATTCTTTTGGGCCCTTTCTGTTCTTTTTTCAAGGCATTCAAAATGGCAGTGGAAAGAACATTTAATTGAACCACCCTTAAAAGATTCTAAGTACTTAGGAGAAAAAAATAATGATATACAAGGATTCTTAATTCTTTTAAGCACATCTCATTATTTGAGAAATTATGCTCCTTTGGTTCAATTAATTATATGAATAGAATAATTAATGGTTTTGAAATTTTTATATTAAAATTAAAGCAAACCCTCATTTTTTCATTCCTTTTTACCTTTGCCTACAATAACTCCCTTGCTGTCCTTAGATAAATTAAAACTTTCTAGCTTTGTCAAAATCCAGTTCTTTCTTGTTCTGTTTTTTTCCTCGTTCCTAAAACCATATAACCCTTAGAAAACTGATGCTGATAATAATCCCTTTAATCTGAAAAGATTCAGCAAATGTATCACTGTTTGCTCATACAACCTCATGAATCAGTACTCACAGCAGAGGCAGACATAGCAAGAGCAAACCGACATTTCTACTTGATTAGTCATGTCTATTATATTTATGTACTGTTGGTGGGCAGCCTCATTCTTCCACTATTTTCAAAGTGTAGCATTCAGTTCTCCTTATTGAGGATTGTGAGGATTGCTTGTAATAGCGAATTATGGTTGCCTACTTATTATAAGCGTGAGTCACCCAGATGGCAAAAGTATTTGATGCTCGATGCCTTGAAATGAATTCATTTCTGGGTAAGATAAAATCACATTCTGTCCAATTAAAGGTAGCTATATGAGGAACAATAAACAGATTAATTCCTGACAAGACATTGTGGTCAGTTATTTTGGGGACCATTCAGTATAAGGAAGCTCTAAAATGGTTAATATTCCTTATTTTAGCATTTTAGCATTTTCACTGAAAGCCCAATTGTGACCAGGTTTTAGATGTGGCTGTTTCTCCAGTTATTTCTGGAATAGAATAACTAGCCACAGTGTCTTAACAGCCTCATATCTATTAATGTGCTACACATGAGATTACATTGTTTGAAAAACTAATATAGAATGCAAGCACTTGCTTCTTGAGCAACATTCAAGAAGAAATCATATTTATTTCAAATATGTTATATTAATCTTAAATGTCCTTTAAATATCGGTGCTACAGTGCCTTGAAAGAAATAATTTCCAATATTCTCCTACCTGTCTTCTTTGAACATTGCCTTTCCAGATTGCAATTGCATGCTGAAATTCAGTAACTAGCTACTCAATAGTTACATGAAGCTTAAAGTACTGTTTTCAGAGAGGCATATCTAGTATTAATTATATTACTTTTTGATGTCAGGTAATACTTAATTTTTTAAGTGTAATGATTAGCTTTTAATTTTACTCTGCAATTGATCTGATCATCTCTTTTATTTCTACTGTTTTAATGTCTGCTGTCTAGTAGCTTTCAATTTATACTTTTAATTTGTTCTTTCATCATGTTTTATACATACCCAACTATTGTCCACCATTTTCTTTAGTTTTTTGTTCACTACTGAGGTCATTTTGAGGTTCTGATATTGAATTTCAAAAGGTCTAAGAAGCTTGTACTCAAGGATTTGCTGGAATGTTTTATATATATATATATATATATATATATATATATATATATATATATATATATATATATTGATATTAAAAATAGAAGAATGATTCCTGGGTATATTCATGTTGAACAGCAAACAAGCGTGAACACCAGGAAAGTTAAAAACTATAAAAGTTTTAATTAAATAAAATTCCAAGCTTTCGTTGGCTATTGCCAACATCGTCAGGGATCGTTTAGGTCAATGAGAGAACTTATATATAGATGACAAAGCCGTTTGCACCTGACTCTTGGATCTCGTCATAGGTCCTGACCGACCAATCAACGCTCCGGTCCTAATCTCCATATTACTAGTCAATTTACACTTGCTTCCCTTACCTGCGCACATACTGCTACTCACTTCCCTCTCCTCCTCCTGTATCCGTGAATTAGGAGTATACCCTATCTTACTCCGAACAGGCACACTATCCAAATCCTTGGGCTGTTTCATCTTCTCACCCCTTTCACTGGGGTGCTCCATCACAATGGATTTTTTACTACTTCCACCCTTTCCTGTCCATTGTTCTATATATATATATATATATATATATATATATATATATATATATATATATATATATATATGTACATAGTTGGATTGTCTCAGTAATCTGATTTCAATAAATATAACTGGCAAAATGTCTAATAAATGCACAGTTCCAGATGAAACATGACCGATTGATTGCTGTGAAATGAATACAAATACAAAATTCGAGGACATAAATCTGGGATCAGAAAGCATCATGCCAAGAACAAAGACTCTAGAAATAGATATTAAGCTATTTGTAAGCCGAGATAATTTACAAAAGGACACTCTGCTGAGCCCAAGGAATTCTTGGCATCTGACTATGCAGGCACATATAGATCAGGGATACAACAGACCATGATTCTTTCTCACTTGTCAGAGAAGAGCATACAGGTTTCCTCCTTGTTATTGTAAAAAGAGAAAAAATAGCACACATATTTTTACAGGATCAACCAATAAAACATTTTTATAAAACACAAAAGAAACCTAAATAATTTAGCTCTTTATGTATACCAAACCAAACAGGCTCTAAATTTGAGTGGTCCAACAAGAAGTAAATTCTTTGACAGTGGTGTAGCCATTCCTAATCTGATATCCTCCAGAAATATGGGAGTTACAGTGATATATGTATCTTTGGATGGCACCATTTTGGTGAGCTTACTTTAGTAGTTTTCTGGGTTATAATACATGGAAAACCGTAATCTGCAATGATTTCTCACTGGTTAATTGAGATAGCAGCCAAGTGCCAAGCATTTAGTATTTTAAAATGCACACACCAAACAAAAGCAATCATGTTTATATTTACCTAAAGTTAGTTCAATATTGTGTATGGGGGTGCGTGTGTCTCTGTATATAAATATCAATGTCTTCTGTGCAATCTACCAGCAGCTGAATACATTAAAGTGCAGCCAAATAGCAATAGCAGTAGCAATAGCACTTAGACCTAAATACTGCTTCATAGTGCTTTACAACATTCTCTAAGCGGTTTACAAATGTCATTATTTTGCCCCCAACAATCTGGGTCTTCATTTTACTGCCCTCAGAAGGATAGAAAGCTGAGTCAACCGTGAGCCAGTCAAGATTGAACTCCTGGCTGTGGAGAGTGAGCCTGCAATACTGTATTCTAGCCTCCATGCTACAACAGCTCCTAATATATTCAAAATGATTGTATAAAAAGTTGTAGCTTATTAAGTTAATACTTAAGAAATATTAGTCTAGTCCCCACTTAACATGATCTTGTCTAAGATTCCTTGCCACTTTCTGTAATACTTCAGGCTACTTTGAAACAGGGCAGGGAATCCACATCCAAAACTTCAAACTTTATGTATGCCTTGAGACCTTCAAGTACAGTTCCCAGAATATTTACAAAACCTCCTTCTCAATTGTGGTTTTTAATAGGTCAGACAAAAGAAAAGTATTAAATAAATGGGTAGGCGTTTCTTTTAATTCAAGTTAGTTTATAATGAATATAGATTCAACACAATAATTGTACATTTGTTTTGTCCTAGAACTTTGGGATGCCAAAAGAATGTGCCCTTTGATCCAGCAATGGTCTGCATCTTTTTTTCCTGAAATGACAAGCATGTAATATGGCTTTTGTTAAAATAGTGAAAAAAATATTCAGCCTACCTTTCTCATTGAAGGGTGTATGCCAAGCAAGAAGATAATTATCTGGCTTCAATTGGGAGCATCCTTCAATAGTAGCAGGATCTGACCTTCTCTCAGGAAGTTTTTCAACTGCATCAACATAACGTTTAACAACATCGCGATACAGGTCTTCTAAGCACCAATAATCTATGCAGGCAAAAAATAAGATAAATGTGTATATAGCAGGAAATGTTAAAAAGAGAAGGAAGAACATGAATGATGCCTGAACAGGGCAATTATTTCATTGTCACTGTCATTTAACATGTTACATCATAACAGTCTTGGCATACATGAATGGCAATAATAAATAGGGCAACTATGCATGGTTATCAACAAGTTAGTCTTATTACATTCACCCTGGCTTATTCTGATCTCTGCTGAGTGAATTTATGAATGTAGGATAATAGAGAGTTACAGTTTGGGCTGCAAACTTTCAGGTAAGCACTAAATAGTAGCAAAGTATAAATTCATGAAAAATGTAGAATATAGTACATCTACTATGACAGATAAAGTGAGGCCCATAGATATTATTGAACTACAGTTCTTAGTGGTTCCAACCAGCAGGGTTGACATATGAAGTTCACTTCTTAAGAGCCGCATATGGTCTATTTGTGAATGATTAGAAAGGTAGAAAGATGGCAGTAGAATCCTCTATGTAACATGGAAGACATGAATATGATAGTTTGGAGGTGAGAGAAATTTGTAATGTAATTTAATGAATTCCCTGAATGGATTGCCCTTGCAACTATGTGGCAGATGGAGAGGAAGCTAATCACCAGATTGCGAGAACAGTCGAGGAGACCCAAACTCATTGGTAGCCTCACATTGCAATGAACAAGGACATGCTTTTGATTTTGCAGCTACAATTATTGTTGGCTGAGCAGGGACAAATATAGCCAGAGAAATATTAAAGCCGGAGAAACTGGCCTGATGTCAGTCAATAGGAGTGCTGATTAACCATGAGCCTATGAAGTACTTACGAACCAAGGATGTGGTGGCACAAGGAAACAGCTAATAACTTAATAACCAGCCAGCCACACCCTAATTACAACTAAAAGCTACACATAACCAGAAACCATATACTGAGCGTAGAACAGCCCAGTGCATATATTTGGAAGAGAGAGAAGTTCCCCGATAATGAGTTCCAGGACGAGCCTGAAAGCTTGGAAGAGTAAACCTTTGTTCCCAGTGGCTGACTCAGATTGCACCCTTCAATATTATCTTGGGACACATATATTTATCTTCATTCTCATGAATATGAGTTGAATATTGGAAATAAAAAATAAGGTGGAAAGTTCTTTGTACAACCAGGAGTTCTTTTTGCTTTATCACAGAGTTAAGAACATTGTTTTATCTCCATAATACAATTTTATAAGAACCAAAAAGACATTGCATTCTGTAACATGATTTGGCCAAACAGATGTATTTAGAAAATTCACAAATAGAAGATCAATGTCTCTTTCTATTGAAGCGTAGCAGTCATTCAAAGTTTGTTGGCTATGATTCAGATGTAGCATCAGAAATCACTGATAGCACAGCTGTTTATGAATATGCATAATTCTCCTTTAAAACTTTCTAAATAGTAAGAAGTTAAGTCTGCAGAATGTAAATACACTTTTCATATTTTTGCTATTCCTGAATCTTTCTGTATTTAATTTCAAAGGTTAGTGCTCTGAAAATTAAATTAAAGAACCCTGCAACTATTATTCATTTTTCTTGTAGGGAATTTGCTTTAGCCTTCTATTTATTTTACATATCTGTGTTTGCTCTTTTCCAATGCTTGAGGCTTTTTGAGACTTAATCATCAGTATTAGTAAAATCATAGGATTGAATATTGTGTATACCAGTAGGTTTCTGGAAGGACATTCATTACTAGCAATTCTTTTTCTAATAATTCCTAGAATGGAATTTGCTTTTTAAAACAATAACAACAACTAGACACTGTGCTAGCATTTTAAATGAACAACCTAACATGATAGCAAGACTATTTCTTGAGCATTCACACTTTCCCTGCCCAAAGACAGTACTAAAGAGGTATAGATAAAAAGTATTATAACTTTAAGTGACTTCATATTTTTAAAAATAATTTCATTAAATATTTTAATTGCAGTAGTAATAACTGATATAAACTAAAAGAAAGAAAAATAGAAAAGGAAGGAAGGAAGGACTTCTAACCTTCATCACAACAAATATAAACAACTTTAGTAACTTCATCTCCTCTTAATTTACAAACTATGATGTCTTCGTTCAATATCCCACTTCTTATCTATAAACAAACCCATAAAGCATCATTTCAGTCCTAGCAAAAGTTCATTAAGGATTGTCAGAAACAACATAATTACAGTATTTTAATTTTGATCAAATAAATCAACTTTATATTCCTTCTTTTACTTCTTATAACTTAATCCAGTGGTGGCAAACCTATGGCACGGGTACCAGAGGCAACACTCAGAGCCCTCTCTGTGGGCATGCGCGCCATCGCCCCAGTCCTAGGCCTTCAGCTGGGTTTTATAAAACCTTTTCACTTTAGGCCTCGCCGCCGTGTGCAAAAAAAAAAAAAGTTTCAATCAATCAGTCAATTTCAACTTCTTGCGGGGAAAAAAAAAGATCTTGCAAAGTTGGAATTGATTGATTGAACTTTTTAGCCCCACCCAGTCTGCTGTTACCACCGCATCCACGCCCAATCAATGGGCCACACCCCCAATTGGCCACACCCATTCAATGGGCCACACCCACCTGGCACTCGACGATGTATAAGTGGGTTTTGGGTTGCAGTTTGGGCATTCAGTCTCTAAAAGGTTCGCCATCACTGACTTAATCTTTAATTCATTCAAGTACTGTAATGTTGTAGAACTTTTGCCTCTTCTCATAAGATTAACCCAAGCTTTAAGAAACCTCTTTTATAATCTAATGTAAAACAATTATCAAGATCAATCTCTTTTATTATTTGTAATTACTCCTTGATTTTTAAAGCATCAACCAATTTCTTTTGTATCCAATGAGACATCTTTTCCCATGTTATTCTTATAGCCTGTCATTTGTACATCCACTTTTAGTGTCAATTCTGTCTCTGCTATGTCAAATAAAACTTGTTCCTCTTCTACCATTTATTCCATAACATTTTTTGGAAATAGTCTACCCATAGAAACAAACATCACTGTTGACATTATTGATATTAACTTCTGACACCATATTTCAAAATGGTCCTTCAATATAGCTGTAGCTATGAATTAGTTTTATGTGTTCTTCTCCTTTAATTAAAAAGTGTAGTTCCTTCTAAAAAGCAGAGACATCACCCTGCCAACAAAAGTACGTATAGTACAGGCCATGATTTTCCCAGGTGCAATGTATGGCTGTGAAAGTTGGACCATAAGAAAGACTGAGCGCAAAAGAATTGAGGCCTTTGAACTATGGTGCTAGAGAAGACTCCTGCGAGTCCCTTGGACTGCAAGTCGTTCAAACCCGTCAGTCCTTGAAGAGATCAACCCCAACTGCTCTTTAGAAGGCCAGATCCTGAAGTTGAAACTCAAATACTTTGGCCACCTAATGAGAAGGAAGGACTCACTGGAGAAAGGCCTAATGCTGGGAAAGATTTAGGGCAATAGAAGAAGGGGACGACAGAGAATGAGATGGTTGGATGGAGTCACTGAAACAGTAGGTGTGAACTTAAATGGACTCCAGAAGATGGTGGAGGACAGGAAGACCTGGAGGAACGTTGTCCATGGGGTCGTGATGGGTCGGACATGACTTCGCAATTAACAACAACAACAACAAGTTCCTTCTAGCATCCAATTTTTAAAAATTGCTTATTTTCATTTGTCTTACAAAAATTCAAAACAAGTCCACTTTCCAACAACATATTCATATGATCAGCTATCTTTAGTTAGCTCATCTCAGGAGATCCAAGAGAGTGGCACGCTTCAGGTCCCCTCTATGAAACAGTACCTCCTGGCAGGACCTGGAATGTGTGTCGTCTTTGTTACAGTGCTTACCCTGTAGAATAGAATTTTACCCATGTTTTTGATAGCTCCAGCTCTGCTGATCTTCCATAAACTTAGTTTGTCCCCTCGGCATTGGGCCAGAGCATGAAATAAGATCATCCAGAACTGAAAAAAATGGTATAGCTATTGTTGGCCTCATATATTTTGTTTTGGATCTTCATTGTGGTTTGGTTTCTGGTTTTGTTTATTGTGCTTCTAACCATTTATAAGCCACTCAAAGCCACTTTTGTAAGTTGAGCAGCTGTGCAAATCAAATAGAGAGTTTTTCTGCATACCTTGCCAACTGTAGAAGATGCAGCAATAGTATTTGGAGGACATCAATTATCAATGTACTTTCAACACATCCCTGACCCATCATCAGAGAACCAATATAATTCATATGTAACATATGAAGTGGCAGCAGATCCTAGGGTTGCCAGGACTTGTCTGGATGGCAACCCAAGAGTAGCTCTCCAGGCTAAAGATTTGCCACCTTCAGGGTGCTGCTGTTTGCTGTGCTCACCCAGCCCTGGCATACCATCTGACCAGGAGGGTTGGAGAGCTGCCATTTTTGACATGCATTCAGAAATCTGGAGGGCCAGGCTTACTGCATGTGAGTGGCAATTGAAGAGTTGCTTACCCTCACTTGGAGTTTAAGTGCTGCAGACATCACTTCCATGTGATAATGCAAAAGTGGGAAGGGGAGACTGATCTTGGTACATGGAAAACTGTCACAAAAAGGACATTCACGTTTCTCTCACCTTTGCTTCTCTTCCCGTGGACGGTAGGTAAACCGGGAGGAGACAAGTGGCAATGATGGTGTCTCTGGTGCCAGTTCTCCAAACAATGTGTTAGATTGGAAAGCTGACAGCAAGAGGCTTTTCACCTGTTTGTCTCGACCCCTGGGTTCTGACATAGGACCATATTTCATCTTTTTGTTGAGACAGAATCAGGAGTGGAAATGCTGCCAGCATGTTTTTCTACTGGCATACCCTATGCTGGCCTCTGCCCTCAAGAATAGTGCTTCAACACTGTTTTGCAAAATACCTCTCAGCAGCGGTTTAGTTCATGATGAATGGCAGCACTACTGGTACTCACCCATGGAGGAACAAATCAATGTAGCTCTTTTTTTTCTGGCTGAGAACTATTGTATTTGACCAGTGGTAGCCATGTATTCATTTAGTGGCCTAGATTAGAGACCCTTTTATAAAATTGGAATTATATTGGTATAATAAACAAAGCTGCTGTAAAAGTGTCATTAGCTGCTTCTGTACTAATTAAATTGGGATTCTAATAAAATTAAAATGGCCAAAGGTACCTTTCTTCCTGTATTTTATTAAGGGCTGGAAACAGAATTATCCAGAAAGCCATTTGAGGATGGACATCTGTTTATTGGCTGCCCATTTATTTATATATTAATTGTATCTTGCTTAATTTGAATTAATTTGTTTGTTATAGAATTTAAATAGTTTCATGGCTTCGGTTTTTGTATTGATCATTCTTAATTATGTTTGAGAAAATAATTGCACATCACCATGAGTCTTTGTTAGATATTGTAATATAGAAAAAGAGAGAATAGTAAATGTCAAAATGGATATTTTACTACTACATCTGCAACATCCACTGTGCTTGTAACATTTCTAATGAACATTTTACATTTCTAATAAATATTTTTAAGTATGGCAAAGCAATTGAACTACCCAAATACAAAAGCAGAAAATGGATGTGTGTCTATTTTCCATCTTTCTAGAAAGGTAGCATGGTTAGTTTCCAGATAGCATGGTTAGTTTCTAATTTATTCTTTGTCAAATGCTTTTTTCCTGTCAACTGGTAGATAACAATAAACTATCAACATCTGTATTCCCTGTTATCTATATAATTTTATTTTAAAGGTTATCAAGTAATGCTTTCTATAATAGAAAAACAGCATATTTCCTATTTAGAATAAAAACGGACAAAGACACTGAATAGCTGTTGCCTGTAAATACAATTGAAGAAATCAAGGTTAAGGTGTATCCTGACAAGTGGTGTCATGTTATATATTGAGAGAAATATGACCTTGCTAATTTGGAACTACTGTATCTAAAAATGGTTGCAGAGCCGACTGATAAGGCTTGCAGATAACCTTTATGCTCAGAGGTCAAGAAGCAAGAGACATGTGACTCGTATTTAATCATTGACTATATTCAGAAGTATGCTAGTCATTCTTTGCTTTCATAGGTTGACATCTTGCCATTATCTTTAGGGTGTTAGCTCTATCTCACTTCATTGGCTAACTAGTAGCTAGATAAGAAATACTCAAGATTCTCATCAACAGATCAGTGGCAGCTAATTTTAGAACAGCAGTCAGATAAGAAAGGAATTTAAATGAATTTCATTGACTTTGACACATCTGATTGTACAATACACATAAAAAATAAGAAAGCAATACAAGTTAGGAAATGCTTTTGTCTTTAACAAAGATATCTATATCTGTCCCTCTATATCTGTCCCCCTGAATGTGCATCATAAACTGGGTACAAAATACAATTGCATGAATGTTATATCATTTATTATTGATGCAGGAGACTGATTTTTACTACACCAAAGAGCTGCAGGACTGGCATTTGAGATTAGTTTTCTTTCCATATTTGTGGAAATTCACTCAGTGTATCATGCAATCTTAATGTATTCTTTTAACCAAATTTATACAACCAAAATGAGCTAATGTGCAACCTTGCTAACTGGAATTCAGCTTGATGCACAAATTAAATAAAGCTAATTTTGAGTTTTAAATAATTGTTTAATTTTTTACTAGGAATAATTTATTCCTAGTATTATTCATATAATCTTTTTAGACAAACAAGTATGATATTTCAAATATCACAAATAAACAGATACACATAGTGCCTCTCCAAAGGTGACTTTATGAGTTCATGGTTGAGGTGGCATTTGAGTCATAGACTTCCTTCTTTATTTACATTCTTTTTCACCTTATTTAAATTTAGGGCAAATGCATGGCCTATTAAACATCATTCACTAAAGGTAGTATTAGCTCACTGCTCAACTAGTAAACATGATTATTACAGCTCTTCTCCAGTTCTCTTTCTAACCTCCCATCTGCGTCTAGATAACAATGTTTTTTCCTCTTACCTGTGATGAGAGCTTCAGCTGTTGCCATGTGCATCAGAGTATTGTCACTTACTGGCCATTTGTCAGAGGACAAGACCAGGTTCCCGAGTCCTCCAATTTCTTTCAATTCCTCTTGGATCTTTGCACCTAAAGCATTGTTTTCCTGAATAAAATTTCGATAGCCCAAAGCATCCCCTACCCCTGCTAGTAACAAAGCAGCCTTAAATTTCTCCATTGTTAAATGACGTGCTTTTTCAGTTCTCTTTGGTCTCAAACAGGCACTTGATGTTTCTTTGTTCCTTTGCCTTCTAGCTTAGATTAAGCAACACTTTATATTGGAGCCATAGTGTCATTGCAAAGAACTGTCCGTATAAGGGAAGCCTGGCCTTTCCTGGCATGCATATGCCATTGCTTCTCTGATAGCCAATGGTTAAGATAAAACTGTTAAGTCCAAATATTTTCCCATTTATTTTTAAGCTGCAAGCTTAGAAAGTGTGCAGAGCACAAGTAAGTATAGTTGCAAAACTCAGAAGCCCCAGGACAAAACAAGCCAAGAAATATTTGGTCTCTCCAGTTTATGTAACTCTATCCCTTGAGAAACACATGTTGAATTAAGAGACTTATTTTTAAAGCTGTTCAATTGGTACATTTCTGCAGTTTTGGAATCACTGCCTTATTGTGTTTCCTTAAAGAACACAGAAACACGTTGATTTTACGGACATTATATTCAGAAGATCTAAACATTATTGAGAAAGTAATTAAAAAACTACTGAACCAAATCTCGTCTAACCCCTACATTTAACTGAAGCAGCCATAGATTTGTCTGTATATCAAATGCTGTCTTATTGCAAATTTATATTATGATATAAACAATTGGAACTGATTTTCCTGCCCAGCAATTGTGCATTAGAATCAGTTTGTTGTGCATATACATAGATGAATTATTCTGCACTTCTCAGAAGAGATTTCACTGATGTTTTTTATTCCCATCTTCTTGTCTTTCTTCCTTGTAAAACTTGACAGGATGTTTGTGTGAATGATAAAAATAACTAAGTAAGTTTTATATTACCTCACAATGAAAAGATAGAAGTTGTAATTATTAATTTAAAATTGATAGGTTTAAATGTAAAATGTAAACTGACACAGCTTTGCAGACGTGTGAAGATATTTACAAAGCAAGTTACAAAATAATAAAAATTAGCGTGTAGCAGCATGAGGTTTAGCATTCTTGAATGATTTCCTATTATAATAATGCAAACTTTATTTTAGAAAGAAAACTATTTTATTATTAACAATGCCTGGGAAGATGCAGCTTCCAAATACAAGTTTACTATTTTTTCAGTAAAATGTTTCAATTTCTTTCAGTAATAAAGCTGGAAAAAAGATAAAACATTTTAACTGTTGCAAAATAGTGCTAATTTTTATTCCAAGTCATAACTCTTTGGCAGAGAATTTAAAAGGGTTGGGCAGTGCCTTCCAAAAAGGTACTTTTTACAATAAGCTGTGCCTAAAGAAGTGAGTAGCTGGATAGCCATATGTCTGGAAACAGCCATGACAGCCTTGAAAAAGATATGATTGCTTTAACAACCTCTCGTAGATTGTGAAGCATCTCCTTAAGACTTGGAATTTAGTTTTCAAAAGAAAAATTGCACTGATGCTTATTATGGTCAGCCCCATCATCCTGTACTGGCATTTCCATTGTTACAATCCCTGCACTATGATGTTACAAAGCTATTATGCAATTACTGGATAGATCCTGTGGCACTAGAGAAGAACCATGCTGGATTTGCCCTAAAGAGTGGACAAATTCCAAATGGCTTGTCTTATATTGGTCTAGTTTTTCTCTTTCAACCTGTATCAAACTGAAATTTTGATGTTTCATGGGATTTTTGTGAAGAACAGATAAGACAACATATTATATTTGATACTAACGATCTTGAAGATACCATCTTCCAATTTGAATTGACTTTGATTTAAACACGTGTACTGATTGAAGAGTATAAAATCGTATAAAGTGTAAATGAACATATTCCACTAGTAATAAGGGAATGCACAACTTTGTTTCAAATAAAACACAGTTCCAACAAACCTCATAATATTTATGCTGCAACAAGATCAGCAGTTGAATTCAATCAGCTTTGCAAGCTGTGTGTGAGGACCATCAATAACCACCTTTGCTCAATCTTGGTTTTTCATTTCCTATAAGTATAGAAACCTCTCAATGTTTCAATGATAGGTGGAAATATTTATCTTCACTTTAGCTACTGTTACATTTTAGAATATTGCTCATTGTAGGAAAGTTTACAAGTTTACATTTCTTAAAACTCCCAATATGAATAGTTTGATATTGTTATAAGAATGTAAGAGAAAATAAATTAACTCTAATAAAAAAAATGGTAACGTCTGGAATAGGTGATTGTTTCCTTAGCTCTTGAATTAAAAGAATAAACTGTAAAGATGACTATTAGAAAACATTAAAACTAATTTTAAGCATGTTTAATATCACATTTAATGAGTTTCAAAGCCAAATCTTTGTAAAGCTTTCTTTTTTTTAAAAAAAAAGTTCATTTGAAGAAGTTCAGTGACAGATACTGTTGTATTTGAGGATGCAACAAAGTAGTACAGTAGCCTTTAGTATTGCTATATTTATCTGAGAGCAACAAAACGAAAAATAACAACTGAGTTACTGGCATCTAGTGGTGGAATGAGAGATAACCCATTTCTCACATTTATATAGCTAATGTTTCCAGCTCCCGAAATAAAAATTAAAGTGATTGCTTTTAAGTTGCAGTTTACCTTGTACCATGCTGGCTTTTTAATTCATGCAGAATTCCACTTTGAATTTAGCATACATGTTCTTTGTGTCTGTTTTCACAATGATCAGTTACACAATGAAGAGCAGAGTTAGTTTTAATGATCATGTGGAAGATAGAATTTAAAAAATCATGTAGGATCTAAAAATATGTCTATTTTTATCACCTATGCTATACAGGAGGCACAACAGCCACTTTTTACCTTTGCCACTCCTTTTATTATTTAAAGCCAGACAAAAAGAAAGCCATATGGTAGTGCTAGCACAGAAGCAATTCCTGAGTCAATGACCACTAGTAGGCAACATGCTATTTCTTTCTGACTAGTCCTTTAGAAGCTGCTTACCACCCTGAGAATACTTTAATACAAACCACAAAACAAGATACTTTTTTGCACAATTATTTCTGCCTGATATTTTTAAGTAGCTTCAATTTTGGTTGAAAATTAAGCAGCAGAATTTAATTTGAGCTAAAATGTGCCTGCACTTCACTCTGTATATTTAAAATAATCACGGCTTCTTTATTACTAAATACATGCCAAGGCTACTGACGCTTAAAGCCACGTTGCTGCAATTACTCTTTTAATGGAGCTATCTATGGTCAATTTTGGATATAACAATATTATAACCCAGGCTGCATCCCAAAATAATCATCTTGTCTATTATTTGGGAAAGCTGTCTAAACAATAGGGCATGTTTTTCCAAGAAAGTGCTACCCAAGCTGCAGGTAGGAGTAAGAGGCATCCCTGAATCCTTCTTACAACTCTCTTACTTCCTAAGAAGGAGAGGGAAGGAATGAAAGTGCTCAGGAGGCAGGCAGGAAAGCTGATAGGAAGAGGGCCTGAGTAGGCAGTGACTGAGAAAGGGCAGGTAGCAGTGGGCCACTGTGATATGCAATGGGACAGCAAACGGCAAAGCAGGGGACTCTGGCTTGTGGCCCCAACAATGCTTCCTTGCAGAGAGCAGTTACAGAAGCAGGACTGATAAAACTTCCTTAAGTCTGACAATGAGAATGTTGTCCCTTAGAGAGTTGTCATCAAAAGCTGGTTCCTGAAAAAAGTCTTTTTTTTTCTCACTGTAATTAACCTCCAGGAAGGGAACAAAAAGAGAAATAGAAGCATCTGTACGGAAACTGCTTTCCACAAACAAACCATTAAATCGTGTGGACGAGGAGTACAAACTTCATTTGGCATTGGAATGAGGAAAACAATTTTTTTTAAAAAATGGAGGTTGTAATAAAAAAATTTATAAACACAGAATCCTGCATCAGGAAAATAAGTCAATAAATATTGCATTGTATTCTCTCAACATCTTTTAGACATATAGAAAAATACCACATAGCACATATTTGATTTAGAGATTTAATTTATATATCACAAATACTGCTTTTAATATAAGTACAATATAATACAGTTGTATTTATGTAACTGCTGGTGTTCACCCTGTATTATGAACTGAATGGCATGCTGTGCTGTTAAAATTTTACTAAAATGGCCTCGAGTTAAACTTTTCCAAAGTATAAAATCATGCAAAATCTACATCCTATATAATACAACCAGTACAGTAATTGAAGCCAGTATCCTACAGATAGCCTGAGCTATCTTTTGAATTTCTTCTTGTAGTGTCCATGAGTCAGCCATCATTTTCTTGCAGCAGAAGTAGCGATTTCTGTTTTGTCAGTGGCATCCCACCTCAACTTTTGAAATCAGAGACAGTGTGTGCACAGTTATTGGCCAAAAGTCTTCATTACCCGATGCAGTTCAGACTGCAAAATTAGTCCACTGAGAAGTCATGGTTAGGAAGCTTTACGTTTTCCTCCTGTGACTACTGGTCTTGCATATTCCACAAAATCATCTATTAGGACTGGCCACGCTCCTGAAGAAGAATTAAACAATTCTGAGTAAAGGCTCTGAATATTTACAGCAATCTAATCTTATAGTAATCTGTATCACTTGGAGGAGTTGGTGATATGTCTTAACCTAAAGTCAATTACTGCCCCATTTCTATTCTTCTCAAAGCAGGTAATTCCAGTCAACAGGAATAGGGAAGAGAATGGCTGAGGCTCAGTCCTCTTCTTCACATTATTTAGCAACTACATAAAAGTGCTAGAAGTCATTTGTTGGTTGTGGACACATACCATCAAAATACTAATGAACACAAGTATACACCTCTCAGCTGGATTACACAAGAGATGCAGTGGATGTCCTGTCTTGATACTGGAGGCTGGTCAAAAAAGGATCAAGCTGAATCCCAGTAAGGTAGAATCATTATTCAAAAATTATAAACCTTTTTAAAAGCTCCAACTTTGGTTCTGGATGAGGTGGCTCTCCCTTTGAAAGACCAGGCCTGTGATCTAAAGGTTCTCTTGGACTTGTAGTTTTTCTGTCACATTACCTGTCCTTTGGAACACCATGCCCACCAAGATTAAATTGGTCCCAATCCTGCTGATTTTCCAAAAAGCCTGACAGACTTTGATGTGTTGTCACACATGGGGGAATCAAGAAATTACCTGGAGCTCCTGAGGTATTTTTCTTTGATTAGATTTGTTTTTATCTTAATAGTCACTATGATTTTTTTAGTTTGTATGGTATTTTTATGTATTGCTAACTCCCCAGAGTCATTATGGCAAGATGGGCAGCCCTATAAATCTAAATCTATAAAATTAAAACATCTTCTTCATGGGAAAATATAACAATAATCTGAAGAAAGACTTTTAACACCTAATTTAAATACAGTGTACATTAGATACATTTTAGAATGATAATTCTTTGCAGTACATACATATATACAATGTATATATACAAAGGTGGCGCAGCAGTTAGAGTACAGTACTGCAGGCCACTTTAGCTGATTGTGTTCAGCAGATCAGCGGTTCAAATCTCACCGGCTCAAGGTTGACTCAGCCTTCCATCCTTCCGAGGTAGGTAAAATGAGGACCCAGATTGTTGGGGGCAATGTAAATATATATATACATTGCTTACTGGTGTACACCGCTTAGAGAGTGCTTGCACTTAAAGCGGTATATAAGTCTCATAAATAAATAAAAAACAAAATAAAATTTATAAAACATATAAACAAATAAAAATTAACTCTTATTCATAGGAAGTCACTAAAATAATGGAAACCAAATTAATCCCACTGATTATATGGAGCTAGCAAACTATGACCCACAGGCAAGATGTGACCTACCACCCATAATCATCTGGCCCATTGTCCTAAAAAGAAATATATTTACCTGACCTGCAACTAAGAAGGAGGGAGTATTTGCCACCTCCTTCGACAGCCATTTTGATGACACTCAGCACAAGAGGAACAGTGAAAATAGCATGGCTTCTGGCTCCAATAGAGAAGAAGGTTGCCAACCCACTTAAGAGCTATATTCCAAATATTGCTAATCAGGTATCTAATTAAAAGCAGAATTTTTAAGGACAATATTTCAAAACAATATTTAAGTCTGAATATCTATATCACTTACCTTCTTCATCATAGTTTGACATATCATCTGCAATCATATTTCCAAAGTCTAAAAGTAGGTTCCAAGTATCCTTAGGGATTGATCTTTTATGATGCTCCTATGTAAGAAAACAAATCTAGTATGAATTCAATTTAGATTTACAGATTTAGTAAAATCTTTATTAAGAAGATACTGACCAGAATTATTAGAGTAAGAGACTAAAATGAATCGAGATGCAGTAATTTTACAAATTACAGTAAAATTACTGTAAAACATCAACTTCATGGACCCCAATCAAAAGAATTTTTGTAATAGACAAAATCCATTATTTTAAATTGACCCAGAAATAATGGACAAAATCTGTAGTTTTCAAAGCAGCTTGCACAACTGATGCAAATGATCTTAATTATGTAATTATGCAGATGACACATTGGTGAATTGCTCCCAATTTTCTATCAATAAGCTCTAATGCACAAACCTTCTTCCTATATGATGTGTTACACAAATTTATTATATTCCTATTCAGAATTTGCACAAACACACTTGGAATAATCCTGCAGGATACTTACCAATAAAAATTTATTCCAAAGATCTAAAAATTTAAATCTTCCTGATAACACTAAATTCCAATATGCAATTGCCATTTCTAGATCTGAAAGACATAAATGTAATTTATAATCCAGGTTAATTGTTATTAGAGTTTCCAATATCCCCACCTAGGCAGAAAAGTATGAAAGAAAATATTTGGTTTTATGTTATATATGGCAAGAAAATTCAGTACAGGTAATCCTTGACTTACAACCACAATTGAGCACAAAATTTATGATGCTAAGACAGTTAAGTGAGTTTTGCCTTATTTTATAACCTTTCTTGCCACAGCTGTTAATTGAATCACTGAAGTTGTTAATTTAATAACACATGAAATGAATCTGGCTTCCTTATTGATTTTCCTTGTCAGAAGGTCGCAACACATGATCCCAGGGTATTGAAATCATCATAAATATGAACCAGTTGCCATCCAAATTTGGATCACGTGACTATGGGGATGCTGCAACGGTTGTAAGTGTAAAAAACTCTCCTAATTCATATTTTAGTGCCATCTAACTTTAAATGGTCACTAAACGAATGGTTGTAAGTCAAGGACCATCTGTAGTTCTATAGATTTTAAGTTACATTTTTAAAAAACAGTTTGTGCCAGTACAAATTCTAAACCATTTCAAGGTTTAAAAATAAATACGCATAAGGCAGTGGTTCTCAACCTGTGGGTTGGGACCCCATTTGGGGTTGAACGACCATTTCACGGGGGTCGCCAAACAACGCAGTCCGCCATTTTTCCCCCCTTTTCCTTAGCTGTGCTACTCCCTTTTATTCTATTGGCTTTTGAAAGCCAATAGAATAGACTCTCTTGAATAGAGTCTAATTCTATTGTCTTTCAAAAGCCAATAGGAATTGTCCAGGCTGTCTCTGCCCTGCTGAGCCCACCAAAAGTCCCATTCTGTAAACGGTGCTGCACCAGTTGAGTAGTCCTCGACTTACAACCGGTTGAGTAGTCCTTGACTAACGACCGGTTGGGGGTCGTGGCATTAAAAAGGTTGAGAACCACTGGCATAAGACCTGTAAATATGGAATGGGTCTAATGAGGTCTCACGGCCTCGTTTGTCCTACCATGCTGTATATCAGATGTGTGATATACAAAACATCACTCTTCCTTGTTATTATGTTATGACACTATAGCTCAAACAACATTTCACCTTATTCATGCAAATTATCAACCCTTTTACTACAGTCTTTTAGTACGAGCTCCCAAGTTGTAATGTTGAATGTGACAGAAAGGGAAATTATTAAATACATGGAGAATAACCATATTTATTTCAAGTATCACAGAATAGTTTTTCTCCTGTCTTATCTCATTTTTCAGAATGTACCCCAATTATTCTACTAAAAATTTCCTTTTTTGCATAATACTCCAATGCATGTTTACTTAGAAGAATGTGAGTAAAAGACTACACAGCGTTCTAGTCTTATACTGAAATTTATCAGAAGTATTTCTCAGAGGTTATCATTGATACAAGTGCACTGTTCATTATCTTGAGCTATCTCTACTGTACACAAACTGAAATTTGGGGAGAGATTACCAAAACAATGCATATTTTTACGAGACAAATACTTTCATACTCTTACTTATGCTAATATTTTCCCTTGATGCATATATTGCAGCGAAGCTTACTTGAAAATGTATTTTTAATTTCTATTAATGTTTTAAATACAACAGAAAAAGCAATTATAAATTAAACTCACAAAAAAACAGAAAAAAGGAAAGAAGTAAAAAGAAATATAAAAAGAAATATGTAAAAAGAAGTGACTTCCAATCTTCATTAGAAGGAAAAACAAAATTTGATAACTCATTACCTCCCTATAAACTTACAAATATGTATTTCTTCTTCCCATAATCTATCCCTTCTATATGCAAAACCATAAATCATCAACTTTGCAGTTCTGGGGTCAGCAAAAAGTCCATTACAGTTAACAAGAGCTTTATTTTAACCTTGATCAAACAAACCAGCTTTATATTCCTTTCTTTTACTTGCAACAATCTTGATCTTTGATTCATTCAAATGTTATATGTCTTTTTCCTATCCCAAAGACTTCTTCGAGGCTTTCACAGATCTGTTTTGTAAATCCAGTGGAAAGTCATTATCCAGGTCATTGTCTTGGTTTGTTTTTTGTATTTCCCTTTTGATTTTTCAAAACCTTAACTAGCTTCTTTTGTATATTCAATAAAAAGTCATTATCAGGGTTGTTCTTTTCTCTATTTTATAATCCACACTTTTCCTATAATTTGTATTTCCAATTTGCATCTCTTGTCTGTTTTGCAATCCACACTTTTTCTGTCATTTGTATTTCCAATTTGCATCTTTTGTCTGTTTTGTAATTCACATTTTTTTAAATCCACTATTTCTGATTCCAGTATTACTACATCAAACATTTTTTTTCACGTGTCATTCCTTCATCAACATCTTTTAGGTCAACTCAATCCTTAGAAGCAAACATTGTTACTCATATTGTCGCTACTAATTTCTGGCCCCATACTTCAAATACCTCTAATATTTCAATTGTTATAGTATTTTGTATCTTTTTGTAAATCACAATCTTAAAGGCAAGTTTTTTTTTCTTTTTTCCCCTGAACTTTTGCCCCCTCTGGTGTTCAATTTAAATCAAAAGGTCTCTTATCTTTGTTATGACTAGAAATAGTCAAAATAATTCTGATTCTCACAAAAATCCATTTATTTCAAATTGAGTTAATTTTTGATTTGTTTAGAAATAAACTCACCAAGTGACTTTTTAGACTGAAGATATTTAAATAAGCAATTTCCACATATGATTAGAAGTTAGTTTAGCAAATTTAGTGTCCTTAAAGCTGGTGCTTGTGAGCTTGATGATTATTTCCTTTGTTTCCTGGCACTCAGATCTATTAGACACCACCATCTTGCAGTGTCCTCACAAGGACAAACCATCCAAATCACATTTGAGTGATCTCCGGTCTTCTTATCTGGACAGGTTCCAAAGAACTGGTCTACTCGCCGGTTCTTTGGTCTTTGCCGTGGTTGTTATCTTCACTCTCCACAGAGATGTGTTTAGCTTGCCATGCCTCCACTGGAAGTTGACAATATATAATCCTTCATTAAAAAAAATAAAACTATACCTATTGAGACAGCTTTTTGCCCCCAACTCAATCAGTGGAAAGTATGCACAAAACAGAATAGACATTTGAGTACTAATATCTGTGTCTCTGAATAGAAATTACATTGACAATAAGCTCCTGAATGAAAGGCAGAATATAAATTTAATAAACAAACAAACAAACAAACAAATAAATAAATGATAAATAGATAGCCCATATCAATAAAAACAAATCAGTGGAACAGCTGAAAATCTTAATAGTACATACTTGCTTGATTTTTTTAAAAAAAAAAAATTAAATGCATTATCAAATAACATGCCAACCAAAGACAGGACAAATTTGAGGATGTTTTTGTTTTAATAAATTATAGAGTATTGTGAATAAGCATGGAGCCTTGTACAGATAAGCCCATCTTTTCTCCATATTTGATACTTTAAATATCTCAGAGAAAAAATAAGTTCAATTTGCATATTTATTCCAAACTTAAGTCAAAATCATTAAAATGCTACATAAACTTTCAGCTTAAGGAAACAAAAAAATATCAAAATGAGCAGCCAAAGAGATATGACAACATGGGCTTAAAGCATGGCATATTAAACCAGGTATTTTAAATCTGAATTGAGTCTACAATGAAAAATGGACATAACAGGAATAACTATTTCCTTTACATATAATGGACAGTAAATTTTTCTTTTGTTTATAAACGGGGGGAAAATAGTTTTGGCAATCGTCACTATGCAACTGTCTGCATAAATTTCCAGAGATCATCCAGTCCCTAAAATAGTATGGTCAAAGCTTAATGGCTTCTATGGTAAAATATTAGATATGTGCTGAGGTACCACACTAAGGAAATACCTTTATTGCACTATGACATTGTAACCATTTGTCTTGTAAATCTACAAATGATTGTCCTCCTTGAAGATTGTCCATGCATGATGACTATACTGTACTCATTTCACTTGATATATCATTTGTTTACAAGGTAAACAATGGTAGCTACAATATTATATATAACATGATATGCTTTTCTTTAACCAATGAATACCAAAAACTCTAAGCAACTTCTAAATTCTACAAAAGTGGTGTGCCAAATCAATTTTAATTTTAACTTAGGTAACTGTGATATTTAAGTAATTAGTGGAATAAAACAATGAGAATGAATCTAAAAGCAATGCTCATTTGCCATGAGTGACAATTCTTCCTAATTTACCAAGTCAATTCCAAGCAACTAAAAATCCCCCAAAATAACATTACAAAAGTGGATTTGTATTATATTTGATTATCATACTGCTTTTTCAAAAATACCTACTAACTATAGTCTTTTCTTATCACATTTTGTTGTGACAAACAACAAATATGACAACAATACCGTAATTTGTTTTGTATATAAATGCATGTTCAGTGTAAACTTGAAATATTTCCTTTCCAGGATAGCATGTGCTATCTTTTGCATGGCATTCACAATCCGTATATGTCTCTACAAGATAAGGCTAGCATTCCTTTGGTGCATTAGATTATTTTAAGAGAGGATCTGAATTTTGAAAGTTAGCTCCAATTTCTGTCATAAGTACTGTTTCTAATGCCATGTTTGTATACATTAACCAGATTAGCTTTATCTATGTGCAGTCCAAGTGGATTTCAACTTTGCTTAATCTGTCAAATATAACCATTTATATATAATAATATATAAGAACTAGAACACAGTTAGTTGCCTTAACACAGGATGCAGAGTTTAAGGTCCTGAAAAACTGAATCATTTAACACAGCCTCTAAACATTTAATATTTAAACACATTTAATTCATAAATGTGCAAAGAAAAGATAAAAATTAAACTATTTCAACCGTATGGCATCATAGCAACATACACATCAACTAAAGTCCTCCAAAACATCCTAAGTAAACCAAAAGAACCAGCAGCCCCAGAAGGAAAAACAGGAGTCATCTACAACCCACAGTGCAAGGACTATGTAGGACAAATAGACAGAAGACTAGCCAAGCTCACCTATTAATACCAACTAACAGTTAGAAGACATAATGAAAACTCCTTAATTTCACAACATATGATCAGACTTAATCATAATTTAACTTGGGAACTGTGAAGCCAAGTCCAAAAACACCAAAGAGTTCCAAGACATGGTACATAGACAAATCAGCCATCAACAGGCACACAGAAATAAACAACATCTATATACCATTCAAAAGAAACAATAAACAAAAAGGAAACAAAAAAGACCAAAACACCTCATCAGCAATCAACACCCAGGTGAGGAGAGATTAACACGAAGATTAATACTCTATAATCAAGAAGCAAACAATACCCCGATCAAGAACTACCAACCCAGATAAACAAGGGAACAGGTAAACAATAGCCTAGCCAAGGAACCACCAAGACCACCCCCACTAACAGATAGGGCAAGCTATTAGTATATAAAATAAGAGCAAATCCCACTCTTCTAGCATTGATAATGTTACCTAATTTGATAATGAAATGTCTGCAAGAAAACAACCAAGCTCACAGCACCAAGGGCCCTACAGATCATAAACCTATCCATCATTGCCTTAGCTAAAGGGGCCAATGAATCAAAAACTGAAACAAATGTTTTTATATAGAAAAAGAAAGAAAAGCCACCAGAGTCTGCTGAAATGTACAAACTTGTCTTTGAGATATAGCAACTTAGATTTATATACAACATGTATGCTAATTTAGTATGAGAGACCAGAAAGAGAAAGAATATTGTAAAATAAATTTGTTTCTGGAACATCATAAAAGTCCACATGTTTTGACTGAATATCCTAAATTCTACTTGACAGAATTGCCAAAAGCTGTAAGAACTGAGATTTTAAAAACTATCCTTGTAAAAATAATGGCTAATATATTGATTTCTACTTAATGAAAAACTGTAATATACTACCCCATTATCAAGATATTTTGTCTATTTTTAAAATAATGTGACATTTATTATTCAAAACATGTAAGTTAAACCATTCACTTAGACATGGATCACAATAATGTTGCCTTCCCTGCCAACCTAATATCTCGCCTAAAAAAATTTACAAGTGAGTCTCACCTAAGCTTTCATTTTGTTAAATCATATTATAAAATCTCTTATTGAAAACACAATAATTAAAAAAAAAACTCACCTAAACCTTTTTGCCCAGGGTTTTTAGCAAAGTTAAAAGTAAACTGATAAAAATCTTTAAACTTCATTGGATCCTTTAATTCTTGTTCCAGTCTTGGCAAAAGAGTTTTTAACTTGTCTGTGGTATCACACCTGGTAAAAAGATGCTACTTTTCAGTTTACTCAGTATCAGTTATATTGTTTTAGAATTTTGAAATATAAATATAAAAGTTATAAAATATTTGTTTAAAAATGGAAAATTGCAATATACAAGAAATAGTTCCATTTTAAGACTAATTCAGTTGATGTTAATATAACAAACTTATATTATTCCATAATATTTCATTTAGCTGGTGCTGCATAATTCATAAAATACATATTCATTTTTATTAGAACGATTTTGCAAATAATAGGCAGCTATAATAAGTGCAGTAAAATAAAGGCATTTTACCCTTACCAGGATTAAAACATGGTGTAAAGGCATTTATTTGTGGTCAATAAATACGATAAAGGTGTAACACACTCTTCAGCTAACTTAGTTTTCTACAATAGTTTCTACTTACATGTTAACATTCTCATACTGTAATTTAACTTGAACTATTGTTTTATGCTATTTTTCTGCCAATAGTTAAAGTAGATCAAGTATATATGTAAAATTGAAAACAGTAATTCTTAACTAAGAAATCATCATCTTATAACAAAATTACCATAGGCAGCTATCCATTCTCCACTTACTGTACTTCTGATAATGATAAAGTCCACTTTTAGTTAGCAGAAAACAAGAAAATTCATCTGACTTCCTAGTAAGCAATGTGGGCAAAAATCACATCCTTGTGATAGCGTTAATATTATTTCAATTTAATTATTAGTGTATTTTATTTTTAGGTGCACAAGCAAGTCATACTGAGATTTTATAATATTTGTTCAGTATTGTCTTATACAGGTACTCAACTTACAACAAACAGTCCTTGTACTTATAACCATTACAGGATCATGGTCACATGATCAAAATTCTGGCGCTTGGCAATTGACAGCTGCAGTGTCCCAGGGTCATGGGATCACCATCTGTGACCTTCCCAGTTGGCAAAGTCAACGGGGGAATCAGGATTCGCTTAACAACCTCATGATTCACGTAACAACCAGTGATTCACTTAACAATTGTGGCCAAAAGGATGTAAAATTGGGCACAACTCGTTTAACAATTGTCTTACTTAGCAACAGAAATTCTGGTTCTAATTGTGGTCATAAGTTGAGGATTAGATATCTGATCTGTATACAAACTACTTGTCCTAGGATTGTAACTGAATTACAGCTTTTTGCACAGGTGTAAGATCAACAATTAAGCATTTGCTGGAAAATATAAAAATCAGCTATAGTTTTATTTAAACATAATGGATAAGTATAAACATTTAGTTAGGTGACATCAACATAGCTACAATCCGTGGTGACTATGGAAAAACACTTGCCATCGCAATCAGTGAGAATCTATCGGTCTTTTAAGGCATTCTTATTTCTTGATGACATTTATTGTTCTTTTCTGCTACTTTGTTCAACTTTCTCAAGCATGATTGTTTTTACTAATTTGCTGACATGATATTCTCTAATTACGTAAGATTTTGTTTAGTGAGCGTTGTTTAATGGAGACAATCAGTCTTTATTTAGTCCACTGGATGTCATTTCCTTTGTCTTCTTAAAATTTAACATTTAGCCAAATTTTTCACTTTCCCTAGTGAAAGTTCCCTAGAAACTAATATTATCTTTCAAACTGTTAGTGTTTCGACCTTCAACTTTAATTCCATATCTCATCCCTTCCCATCTTGCCATTCATATAATCTATTTTCTGTGTAAATTAAACACATTACTTTCGCTTTATCATCATATTCATCTGAATAGTGCTGATATTTAAAATGATAATTTCAACAAATATTTGTATTTCATCTAGTATTTTGCTATAGTACTGCAGTTTGGACCAATACATTTTTGTAAATCCACCTTTCCATCCTGCGTGGGCATGTGTAATTGGAGTACTACCATGTCACTTTTTGTGTTCATCCACTGTCTGATAAATATTCAATGACCCATGTCCATTTTTATTTCAATGTAATACCATTTTTATGACAAATGTTAGAGCATTACACCAATTAAAAGATATAAGAACAATTACAACTATTTCATTTCTTCTTGATTTGGGACAATTCTACTTCTCCAAATTTATATTTTATTGTGGCTTCTTGTTCTATGTACAAGGAACTAATAAGATTTCTTGGAAAAATGATACAATATTCTGGCACACTTATTAATTTTAATATTGTGCACATTCTGACAAACTCTGCACAAAGGTCTCATTATATTTAATAAAACACAGGCAAATCTTATAAATTTGCTTGGCCTCCCTATCTACACTGTATATGATCTTACATCCTTTGGCCTCTTCAGACATTAGAAAGATAATTGGATCTCTGAAGTTGGAAGAGCTGTTCCCTTGCTGTGGCAGAACCACTTCCCATTAAAATTTAGAGTTACAGCAATTATTCCTTTCGCTGAGGAAACACCAGGATAGTCCTCCTTGGAATGAATAGATCTCAATGGATAAAACTCTAGATCTTTTAGCTAATATGATGGATGCTCCTGTCAAAGGTCTTGATTATTCTGTAAATGCAGACGTGACTTATGCAGTTTATTTATTTATGAGACTTATATACCGCTTTAAGTGCAAGCACTCTCTAAGCGGTGTACACCAGTACGCAATGTATATATATATTTACATTGCCCCCAACAATCTGGGTCCTCATTTTACCTACCCCGGAAGGATGGAAGGCTGAGTCAACCTTGAGCCGGTGAGATTTGAACCGCTGACCTGCTGAACATAGTCAGCTAAAGTGGCCTGCAGTACTATAACTGCTGCACCACCTCGGCTCTATAAGCAATTTGGAAGGCAGTTATATATAGAAGTAAAAAAAAAATCAAAATTTGATTAAATACTAGTAAGAGCTCATTATTAAAGGCTAGTATATGGCAGCGATGGAGGTACTTTGGGCATTACTAAGAATGGCCCAGCATAAAGTTTCACAGAATCCTTGATAATACAATGTGGTGTGCTGGCTTTGAGGATAAAATCAATTATACATATACTTAAGACTCAGCATTTCTGACAGTTCAATTTATAAAAGTCTTTTTTATGACTTTCATTTGTTAAATTCTGATGACAAAATGCTTGATAGAGAGAAATTTACCTCCTCACTTGACTTTAGCTACAATAGCTTATTACATCTGGCAGGATGGGAGTATTTGGGTGGAGGTTATAAGCTAGTTAAGAGATATTTTGTCATACTGTAGCACATTTGCATTTTAGAAGTAACGTTTGTTTGATACCTTTCATTCCAATCTCTTTTTATGTTTTTTTAAATAAACTTGAACTTCATCAGTGAAGGAGCGGGCCTTCAGTCATAAAGACTATGATGAAAAAATTCAGATCTAGATCTGAATAAGTATAGGCTTCTGAATTCCCTTTTATCTTCCCTAAGGTTTAACATCTGCATTAATCTATTCAGAGAGGTCATTCAGAAATTTAGAGTAAAATATTACTATGTTGCTGATGTACAACATTCTTGTTTTCATAAAATCCAGTGAAAAAACAAAATGCTGTACTTGGTCAAAGTAATTGGGTGACAGTCAAGAAAGCTCAGTCCAGACATAGAGATGCTATTGGTAGATGGTTTATTTGTCCAGATGAGTAATGTACAGCCTATTTTAAAGGAGATTGCACTCTTCCTAATTTGAAAAACTTCTGTATCAATCTTTGTCATTATGTGCTCTGTGAATGGAGTATCTTTTCTTGGTTTAGATTACTGGGTGAGTTGTAGTACTATTTTGACACAGACAGTTTACCTGTGCTAATTTATGCCTTGATAATTTTTTATGTAAATTACTATGTGTTTTATACGAGACTAATCTTCAAGGTGGGACAAAAACTACAGTTAGTATTAAATAGTTCAGCCAGGGTATGAATTGGAATTAGCACTACAGTATGAAAGTAAATTTATTTTACATGATTATCGGCAGCGCCAGTTTGCTCATCATTCAAGGTATTAGTAAAAATTTGTATAAGTTTTCATAGTTTGGGATCTTAATGCCTGAAATAACAGTATTAATTATATGGTCATCATCTGAGATCATCTTCAGGGACTTTGCTTTGGGTGCCTTATAGGCCAAGATGTCTACAGCAGATACTTGGGAATGGGCCTTTTCAGTGGAAGACTCATCTCTGGAAAAGTATTCTCAGTGAATTATACTTGGTACTAACTTGGGGGGGGGGGTTAGAGCCAATGACATTTTAATTTTTCTAAGCATTTTAGTCATCTTAATCCATATACTGAACACATAATTAATTTAGTAATTCATTAAATACCCTTAATTAATATTACCCTTTTAAACTATAGCTATAATAATGTCTAAATCAGAGCTAAGAGACAAGGCTGAATACATACCGGTACCAAGAATATAGATAGTCCCCAAATTAATTGAGCCCGGAATTATAAGACATTGCAGTTGTAAGTCAAGGCACGATGTGCCTACCTGATTATTTGACATTTTTTGTGGTGGTAATTTAACAAACACTATATTTCTTAAGCAAACACTGCTGTTGCTAAGCAAATCAATTTTCCCCAATGGATATTTTTTGCTGCAAACCAGACGCAAATGAAAAAAACACACTACAAATGATGGTCACATGACTGCGAATCACTGCAAATAGCCATAAAGTTAAACCAGCTGCCAAGTACTCAAAATGTGATTCCATGACCAAATGGCAAATGGGCGTTATAATTTAAAAAATGTAGTTTTGGGAGGAATCATTTTAAGCTGAGACTATCTGTAACCAGTTGTCACTGAAATCAATTAAACATATATTAATAGTATCGCACAATATTTGTGTTTTACTCTCCTCAAATGGCAAGACTGCTGCTCCCAGAACTGCCTGCCTTCAGCAAGACCACTTTAAAAAAATAAATTAGTTTTCAGTTGAAAGAAATAGTGAGTCAGTTATTTAGAAAGCGCTCCAACTGAATGCAAAATATGGTTTGTGGATGGGAATAAATTCAGAACTGAGGAACTGGATTATTCTTATAAATTTTAAGGTATTTATGCACCATAGGCTTATGTCAAAACATTTTTATAGTCCTTGCATAATAAATTAGGCAAGTTACTGTTACATTTTAATGCCACAAGCATGCTTTAGATACCTGCATAATTCTTTGTATATTTCAAATAATTGAATTTTTAACCAATTTGACAAAATCAGTTTTGATGTAAACTATTTTGATATTGAAAAAAATGGAATTCTGATTAAAAACTGTTATACTTACCCCAGCTCCATCATGCCATCTACAAATTCTTTTTTACTGAATTCACACTGAGTGGCTGCCCGGAATTTCCATGCTATGACCAAAACACTGATACTAGCAGGGTCCAGACTTAAATCATCACAAAATTGCTGAATTCCATCAATGCCAATTTTATTGTCATCCTGTGGGTCTGTATTTGAAAACAAAAAACAAAACAGGATGTTATGTTACATTTTACATTAAAGATGTGTAGCCTTTTCATAATCACACAATGTTATTCTGATTTTTAAAACTATAACTTTATAGTTTTAACTCTTACTACCTAAAAAATATAATCATATAAATCAGGTAAAAAAAGAGTTAGTGGCAATTCTGTATACTGTATGTAGAAAGGTTCATTTTATTTAAAATTGTAGTAATTATACCACAACCGTCAAACATAAAAACACATGGTCTTAACAATATTGTGGTTTTCTTCCAATATGAGCAAGCAAATTTATATGAGAAGTACAGAGTACATTTTGCTGACGTGAAAAGTAAAAAAATTGAGACAGATTAGGGTTTAGAATCACTGTTGTTGAAATTGTTAATCCCTATTATTTCAACAAAAAGTTCCTGCTATTTTAAGCAACACAGGTCTCCAGTGGATTGATAGGCAGACTTCTGTTTCTTCATATCACACCATCATTCTTTAGACATCAGCAGCTAAAAAAAGACACCTCTTTGCACATGCTACACTTCTGAAATATTATTTGTTTATCCCAAGTACAGCCTTGTAAAGAATGCTGCCAGAGATTGTCAAATCAATTTCTCATCCAGAGTGGATAATAATCGATGATTTTTTTAAAAAAAAAATTAAAAAATCAGATTTTTTAAAATTTAAATCGGATTTTTTTATTTTTATCAAATTTATTTTAATAAAATGCCGTAGGAAGGAGTAAAAATCTATCTAAATATAGTTTTCTATTCAAGATACATTAATAATTTATTTTATTCGGCATGAAATGGAGCTTAGTTATGTAGCATAGGGCTGTATACTCTGCAATATTTACATTTTTGGGTAAACTCAATGAATCCAAGCTCTTCAAGCTAAGATAACATGCACTGCATTGATGCATTCACACAATTTCACAGTAACCATGAGATAAATCATAAAACAAAGTTCAGGAATATTCCTTTATCCCATTGTTTTACAAATCTATGTACATTACAAACTGTATGATTGTTTGGAGAGAGATGCATCTGTACCAGGCTCTAAGTGTTTTAGTTAAATAAAAGATTTTGAGTAGTTTTCCAACTATGTGCGATTAACCCATTAACCTAAAATCAGTTCTGATATTGCTGTTTTACTAACCTGACAGCTTATTATTCTAAATAGGAAACCTTCATTTTGTTTGCAAATAATATTAAGTACCAGCAAGAATGAGTCCTTACATTTAAAGAGCACCTGTCATTTCAGATCCATCATGGCAGCACCTGTTAGCGGGCATCTACTCACCTGTTGCCCGCCATGTCCCTAACCTTGTTGTGTCACTGCTGCATCACCAGCCGTCCCATTAAAGTGGAATGGGACTGTTGGTGAGTCAACAATGGGTCAAGGAGGAGCCACCGTGGGACAGAGATGACAGCTGCTCTTTAAAAATTATTATTTAAATTGAGTTGATTTAAATCAAGCCTTTTTACTAGTGATTTAAATCATGATTTAAATCGGCTTGATTTAAATCAAATCCACCCTGTTCCCAGCTAAAAATAAAAACAAAAATAAAAGTTCTATTCTCCCAGCGAAAATAGCTAAACCTTTAGAAAGTACTTCTGCTTCAGTTTACATATTGTGCCTTCCTCCTTTTATGTGGCACATAGGTAAAAAAGGTGATACTTGTTCTTTAACCACATGCTTAACCTAACTGCAGGTGGTCCTCAACTTACAACCCTTTGTTTAGTGGCTGATCAAAGTTATAACACACTGAAACAAGTGAATTATGAGAGCTTTTCACATTTAGGACCGCTTCAGCAGCCTCATGGACACATGATAAAAATTCAGATGCTTGGCAACTCGATCCTATTTATGATGACTGATGTGTCCTAGGGTCATGTGATCATTTTTGTGATCTTCTGACAATCAAAGTCAATGGGAAATCCAAATTTATTTAAGAACCATGTTACTAATGTAATAACTGCAATGATTCATTTAACAATTGTGGTAAGGAAGCTCATAAAATGGGTCAAAACTCACTTAACAACTATCTCGCTTAGCAACAGAAATTTTGGGCTCAATTGTGGTCATAATTTGAGGACTACCTGTACTGCAGCTGAAAGTAGCAAGAAGAATTTTCAAGTTATAGCTATTCCAATATCAATTATTTTAATTATTTTAACTATTTCTTATATGCATCTTTGGGGGAAGCCATTTCCATCACCACTAATCACTTGCGCTTCTCTCTCTGTGCTTGAAGTGCTGATAACCACGTAAAGCCTCGAAAGGTACTTATTTAGGGCATAGGAAATAAAGCATTCTATTAAATATTACATATCTGGGTAAGGCAGAATGTGCCTGACTAACTTTTATTTCAAAACAATCATAGTACCCATATTCTTATAGGAAAAGGTCTTAACAACATTTTCAAGTATTCCACTCCTATGCTAATCAACAATTCTATGGCGCGGATGTTTTAAAGCAAGGCTTTTCAACCAGTGGTACGGGTACCACCTGTGGTACATTGGCACCTGGCAGGTGGTACGTGACAATCCTAGAAAAGTGGTAGTGGGGGAGGGGAATGAGCTGAACCGGTGGCAGCACCGCACAAGCCAGAGTGAAAGATGGCTGGAGCTGCAGAGCTGTTAGGGCTCCGCGGAAGCGCCAGGATCAGCGCTTCTTTGGGACTGTCAGGGCTCAGTGGATGCGCCAGGAACAGCGCCAGGCTCCAGCTGGAGCTCGGCGCTGATCCTGGTGCTTCTGCTGAGCTCAGAAGCGCCGATCAGCTGGAATGTTGCAGCATCTCCAGGGTCTTGTGATTTACATTCAGATGCTTGGCAACTGATTCATATTTATGACGGTCACAGTGTCCCGGGGTCATATGAAGTGACTAAAACCTGCTGCAACCACCTGGGGGGGGGGTAAAAACCAAACATCCCCCACCCCATCTCTGCTGCCAATCCTCAACAGAAATGCTCACAGCAATGAAAATCTCGGACAGGAGGAAGAGCGCCACTGGGTGGGCAGGCAGGTGTCTTGCTCGGCTGTGGCTTGGGGGGCACTTTTTCAGTGCCATTGTAACTTCGAACAGTCATTAAGCGAACTGTTGTAAGTCGAGGACTACCTGTACTTCATCACTTTTTTCCTTTTTGGGGGGGTGTCATCAAGTTTTTGACACCTTGCTAGGCGACTGATGGTACTCGGAAGCTGCCATATCCTAAAAGTGGTACAATGGGTGAAAAGGTTGAAAAGCCCTGTTATAAAGAATAGCAAATTGCAAGATGTAATTGACAGGAGATGGCTTGGGAATGCAAAGAAAACCATTTGCAATGCTCTGAGAAATCAGTGTTGTTAAAATAATACACTAACAATTGCGTCAAAGCATTAAGGGTAAACCTCTACACATATTATTTATGCTCAATGACCAGCAAAATAAAAACCATGTCAGTCATATGTGACTTAAAAAGTTATGGTGTAAAAAAAGTTAATAAACTAGATTAAGTAAGAAAATATACAATGTAAAATTTATGAGAATAAACTAAATTACAACATAAAATTTAATAATGTCACTACTCCAAGATTAGGTCATTTACGCCTTTTTATAAAAACTGCTGTAGTAACTACTTAGTAATTTTATTTGTAATAGAAACATTGTGATCTGAGAGTAAGAAAGAACCATCTCTCCCTCATAACAGATTTCATTTTTGCTAGGATATGTTAAAGGTATATCTACAACCAAATTCCTGTAGAAATGGGAAAGATTTATGACTTAGGGTCTTAGGTTCATTCAGACCACAAAGACACGTTTCTTTTGGTGAATGGAATCCTGCTGTACATTTCTAACCTGGTACTATAGAGGATAAAGTGTTGAAATGAGGCAAAGAAAAAGCCATTCAGCATATTGGTCAAATAAGACTGAATAAATAGCTTGTGTTGGAAACAGCACTGAGAATTGGCTACAATTAATACCCAAATCCTTCTGCCATGCAATGCCAAAAATTCCTTTACAGATTTCAAATTTAGCTCTAAATCTAGAAACAGCAAAGAAAAGACCAATTACAATTTTTATTTCCTACCTTGATAAATGTTTTCAAAGAGAATTAATAGGTCCAATGAAGCAGTGCTAAACAAAAGTTTAAGCTAGTACGAGATTAAGCAAATGTGCCTCTAATGAGAATATATCAGTTTCGGGTGAGGATTAAAGTACTTGAGAAATAGCAAAGGATTTTGTAAAAACCTACATTGGACAATGTCAAAGGGCCTTGAATCATTAAAGGTGCATACCTGTGTAGCACATATTTAAGATAGAGTTTTAGCTTTAAAAACAAGTTTACATTTATTTGTCTGTCTGTCTGTCTGTCTGTGTCTGTCTGTGTCTGTCTGTCTGTCTGTCTGCCTGCCTGCCTGCCTACCTACCTATCTATCTGATTTTTATCCTGCTTTTATTACTTTATAAGTAACTCAAGGTGAATATACATAATACTCCTTTGTCCTATTTTCTCCACAAAAGCCTGTGAAGTAGGTTGTCTCAAGAGAGAACAAATCACCAGCCAATTTTAATGCCTAAAGTGAGACTAGAACTCACAGTGTCCTGATGTCTAGGCTAACACCTTAACTATTACAACAAACTGAAAAAAAAAAAAAACAGGATTGCTTTGGCAAGTACTGTTAACTTTGGCAGACATTGAGACTAATTTGTTTTTATTTTCTGTTCACAAAAATCACTGAATAGCACAACTTTCCTACAGTCCACTATTGTCCTTTTCAATCTTCCACCAACAGGCACAGACCTACGTATATGAAGTGCCTTTATGAAGTTTGACATTAATGCTTTTTTAAAAAATATATATCTTACCAAAAAACTAAATTTACAAATACTAATAAACACATTCTCATTACTTTTATCTTCTCATTGGAGATTTAAGATTACCCACCAGTGGAAATTAATATTCATCCCTTCCCCGTTATTGCATCTTCAAATCAATTTCAGAGTTACAGGATTTTCCAGAGCAGATACAATATACATGGAAGGAAATACAGAGGGAAGAAAGCCAAAAGAAGCTTGTTCTTAGATGTTTGATAAAAATTAAATAAAATGCAGCCTTTATGATTTATTTCCTCAGAAATATACTTGGAAATCCAGTTTTATGGAAAAGAACTAAAATCACAAACTAGGATTATGACTAACTCAAAAAGATAACTAAGTGTGTAACATAAGTAATCTTTTTTCCACTTTTTATATAAAGATAGTCCTCGACTTACAACCATAATTGAGCCCCAAATTTCTGTTGCTAAGCAAGACATAAAATGATCTTTTTGTGACCTTTCTTACCACAGTTGTTAAATGAATCACTGCAGTTGTTAAGTTAGTAACATGGTTGTTAAATGAATCTGGCTTCCCCACTGACTTTGTCAGAAAATTGCAAAAGATGATCACATGACCCTGGGATGCTGCCATCATCATAAATATGAATCAGTTGCCAAGCATTTGAATTTTGATCACGTGACCATGGGGATGCTGAAATGATTGTGTGAAAAATGGTCATAAGTTACTTTTTTCCCAATGTTGTGGTAACTTTGAATGATCACTAAATGAACTGTTGTAAGTTAAGGACAACCTCTACTCCCCTCATTTGAATATGAAAAATACTGATAGAACTAAACATAGAAAACTCATAATTGATCCTCAGCAGCTATACAAGGATTAAAAAATAAATGTAATAAAATTATTTTGTGTCACAAAATGTATAGCTGTATTGCCCAATAACTGAGGGATGTCCGAGAAATGGAAATGAAATAATCATGAATTTAACATCCCCTCACTAACCTGAGGCTGCAGTGAAATTGAAAAAGTAACCCATTTTCTTGTTTTATTGACTTTCTAAAAAGCTATAGAATACCCCCAGAAAAAAAATTAAAGGAAAGGAAATAAAGAACAGTTCAACAGTGAAACAGCTATAAATATTCAATAAGACAGGTACATTTTTGTCTCCTTTTTTTCTTTATATTCAGGCCATTGAAAAATTCATTAAACTGTATGTCAGTAATAAATAAATCACATTTATCTTAGTTTTTTAACAAATACCCTTGCTGAATAAAGAAAATTTGTTTAGCACAGAAATCAATCAATTGCAAGGGAAGAGATAAACTATATTTGGAAATAATTATATTTGTGGATTTGATTTTTTCTAATGCTGCAAGGAAACAAGGGAATATATTCAAGAATTAAGATAACAGCAATGACCTCTTGTTAGGTATGAAGACCCCTATATGCAGCACTATGGGCAAAGTACAATCCTACAAACAAGAACTTCTGAATTGAAGACTGAACCTTTTTTTTTTTTTTTTAGAAAACTAGGTATTTGAATGGTTATCCAGAAATATGCATGTATATTAATATACAATATAGCTAAAGGAGTATTCAAAATATTTTGTTATTCATTCATCCTATTTATAATCTCTTCAATGGAGCTTAGAATCCTAAGTATGGTTACCTCTCATTTTATTGTCACAATCCTGTGAAATAGACAGGACAGAGAAAAATTGATTGGATTATAATCACCCCACCAATCGAATAATTTACTATAATCCATGATCAGTATATAGTTTAAAAATATAACAATTCCATTTATGATTTATTCCTTGTAACCACTTTACTGTCTCTGAGATAACTGAATTATTTTCTAAAATGTTTGCAGCAATATGAATTCAAAAGCAGAATTAACAAAGGAGTTTCAATAAAGCTTCCAACCTCAGAGACATTCTTATAGTTGAACATAATTCTATATTTCAGAATATCCATATAAGAAGTTATTCAATGTTTTATCTGGATTAGATCTTTAAAAAAGAATACTTATTAACAAATATATTTGTCCTTATCTAAATTAAGAAACATTATAAATAGGAGTAGGCACTCCTTGATGGATCTAGTCTGGTGAATGCTGTACATTAACTCTTTCAGCAGTGATTTCAGTGGAACATACTGCTCAATCTTAACTAAAATACTCATATGGAAATTGCATCTTTGGGAATATTTAATAAAAATGGTGTAACAAGTTTAAACTGCATTCATGTTTTCAGGACAATCCAATTTATGCTTGTAGTTCAAGCAGGTGGTCTAGGACAGTGCTTTTCAAACTTTTCACAGATTGTACCACTTTTAGGATATGGCAATATCTGAGTACCACCAGTTGCCTAGCAAGGTGTCAAAAACTTGACGACTAAAAAAAAAGGAAAAAAATGATAAGTCCTCGACTTACAACAGTGACTGTTCGAAGTTACAATGGCACTGAAAAAAGTGACTTATGACCATTTTTCACACTTATGACCACTAAGGCATCCCCAGGGTCTTGTGATTTATATTCAGATGCTTGGCAACTGATTCATATTTATGATGCTCACAGTGTCCCGGAGTTATGTGATCCCCTTTTGCAACCTTCTGACAAGCAAAGTCAATGGGGAAACCAGATTCACTTAAGAACTCTGTTACTAATTTACAATTGCAGTGATTCACTTAATAAATGTGGCAAGGAAAGTCATAAAATGGGACATTGTCGTGAGAATTTCTGTTGAGGATTGGCAGCGGGGGGGGGGGGAGAGGGCTGTTTAGTTTTTACTCCCCTGTCTGCTGGGTGGATGCAGCAGGTTTTGGTCACTTCTGTCGTGCTGGGAGGTTACCCACGAAGCACATTTGTTTTGGGAGAGATTTCCACTCCAGTTGCTAAGCTTGCTTAAACTTTCTTCCTCGTCCTCCTTCTCCTCACCGGAGCCCCCCTTTGTCTGCAATGGTGGGGCAGGAAGACCCCCGCCGGGATGGGGATGATGGGGATCTGCCCTCTGCAGAATAGGGGCAGGATTACTATGCTCTCTGTCAATGAAGTCTGATTTTCTTTTTTTGTTGCCCCTCCTGCCTCCCCTGCTTGTAGCTGCCTCTGAGCCCCTCATTCTTGGGAGTTAGCACTGCTGGCATCTCTTTCTCCTGAGCCCCTGGTGCTGGTAACTGTTGCCACCCAAGAGCTGTTTTAAGGTTAGGGAATCTTTGGGGGGATAACCAACTAGTACCCCAACACGCCCCCAATGCCCCCACTTCAACTGCAGAAGCAACACCCCCCCCCCCAAGCCCCTGCAATCATCTATTGGCAATTGCATGCTGCTCCGAGGAGGAACGCTGGAGGCAAATGGGAGGAGGCAGGAGGCTCAAGGAGAAGGAGGCATGGCCAAGGGTAGGAGGCAAAAGATCCTAGACCCACTGATCAGCTGTAGCTGCACATGCTGTTCCAGGGCTCTTAGCAGAACCCAGGCAAACCTTAGGCAGCTCCAGCTGAATCTCTGCTCTAAGACTACGTGCAGCTGCCTCCCACCTACAAGGCTGCCACCGATCAGCTGGAGCAGTGCGCAACGATCCTGGACTCTCAGCAGAGTCCCGGTGATACCTCACGCAGCTCCGGCTGACTTTCCCACAGGCCTGTGCGGTGCTGCCGCCGCTTCACCTCATCCACTTTTACACTTTTTTTTTTACAGGGCTTTTCAACCTGTCCTATGGGTACTACCTGCCAGGTGCTGAAGTACACACCAGTGGTATGTGTACCACCAGTTGAAAAGCCCTGGTCTAGGAGATGGAATACAATAATATAATTTTGGAACTCATTTGTGGTCGTAAGTCGAGGATTATCTGCATTAGTGCCCAGATGTTTATATATTTTAAATTAAAACTTTAGATTTTTTTTTAAAGAGAAAGTTTTATATTTAATAAATTATACTATCTAAACACACATATACATATACACACATAGGATAGTATCACTGTACTCATGTTTATAGTTTGATACTGTTCATGCTTACTAAGTCCCACTATGTACAGTAGGGCTTACCTCTTAGTAAATATACTAGAACTGTAGCCCTTTTTTCCCCTGAAGGTGTAAACTGAAGTGGAAATCAAGCTCAAAGGAAAAAGTGAAGAAGTAAACCTTACCTTTGTACCTGTTATACAATTGTTCTAATTTCTTTCTGTCTATTGAAATTTTCATGGATTCTTTGTAGTATAAGTCTGGATTCTGGAAGTAGTTGTCTGTTGCCACTTCTAGTTTCCACTCATTCTGCATTAAGCAGTATATGGCAGTCCTTTCACCAGCCTGGGTAACTGCCATAAACTGGCGGACCTTGTCCTTCTGAGACGATTTAAGCTTATGCTTTGGGATGCAAAAGAAGCAGGAAAGCCAATGAAGCTAATCCAGATGTTTGTTTCAGAATTTTACTAAAATCGCCTGTCTTTAAAAAATATTGTATTCTTTTTTTGGAGTAATAACATTTCATTTCAGAAAAAATAAATATATCTTATTTCATTACAGTAAAAGACAATTTTCTTTTGAAAACTGAAAAATTAACTGAACCTAAATATTTTTAACACACAAATTAAAAATCTGAGGGCAATTCATTTCAGTCTTAACTTTATGCCTCTAGTTTTCCATGTAAAAAGACATAACTTTTTACATAGTGGCTTTCCATTAAATGTATCAATCATTCAGTGAAAGAATCTTTACAATGATACCGGTAGCCCTACAATAAATGACCAAAAGTATCCCATTCTTAATATAATATGAATATGTGATTATACTGTGATAGATTCAGAAGTTTAAAGCTGAAAATTATGCACAATTACTTGTGCCTTATTCTAAATAGTCATGCACAGGATTACACATATAAGTGGTGCTGCAAGTAAAAAAAAGCAATTTCAGGAATAAGCCTTTCATAAATATTGCTTTACATTATAAAAGTAACACTTTTTAAATATGCCCTATAAAAACACAGCCAAGGTAAAATGATGTCAATGTATAATTTTATACAATATTTCTACGTAGGTTTTTATGGCATCTGAACAATTAATAGGGACCTAAAATATCCCTAAGATTTATTACACACTTTAAGACTCTTCAACAAAGAATGCCCCTCTACAAACAAATCATTTTAGTTAAGAAAATGAACAAGTTTCAAACATAATTTGGCCTGCACAACTATGATTCTTCATTTCTGAGTCTAAATAAATTGCACAAAAGAAGCAATCTTGATACAAGTGTGTTAAAAAAGACATCGTAATAAAATGAAGATCCTAATTTCTGTATTTGCCACGCAAACTTAATATTTAATTCTTTTAAGTTCTATTTTCACTTAAGAATGCACAATTTCTTATTACTCTATGTTTCCTAATTCTCTTTGGGTGAAAACGGGGGTTATCAAAACGGCTTGCAAGAAACCAGAATGGTACGTTTAAAAAGGAGAGGGAGTTGCAATTTCAGATGTTAAAATGAGTTTTTGCTCCCAACTAGGAATCTTCTTTTAAATTTTGTTCTCCATCAAAGAAGACACTCACCGAAAGGTATGTCAGAGAAAGAAAAGTGGCGGGGGGGGGGGGCAAGGAGAGGGTTGGGGACTGGAATAGCCAAGGAACTATTTCACCGTGTGAAAGGAAAAGGGAAAATGCAATCCCCGAGAGAGAGTGGGCTCCTTCCTCCCTTGGGGGGGGGGGCTTTCCCCGGGCCTACACGCTTTCCTTTTAAGCCAGCTCCTGAGAGAACAGGTGAAGATCTCGAGGGCATCCACAGGAGATGGGGCCCCTCGGCCGTTCTATAAAAAGCGAAAGGAAGACAAAGCTTGGGCCAGGGGAACCCGGAGCAGGGTCGCCAACAGACACCTGCCACCTTCTCCCCTGCCCAAAAAAGGGAAAGGTACGTGGCGAGGGTGGCGGCGCTCTCCCTGCCCGGCCCGGAGCTCCTTCCCCACGCAACCGCGGAGCCCTCCCGTCCCTCCTGCCGCCGCGTTGCGTCCGCGGAGGCTCCCTGCGCAACTCTCTCGCAGCCTGCGCGCCCGTTGCCCCCTCCCTCGCGAGCTCCCCATGACGCGGCGGGCGGGGAGGGGGCGCCCGGAGTAGAAGAGCGCCCGCCACTCTGCCCTTTGCTCGCGGGCGGAGGAGAATCTGCTCATCTCGCAGGAGGATCCTGCCTCACAGCTCTCCCCGTCTCCTTCCCCGAGCGCGTGGAAGGGTTCGTTCCAGGCGGGGAAATCCACCCCATTCCCCCCCCACCTACCATTTTATCGGCAGCGGCTTCACCCAACTTCACTCGCCAGCGCGGCCGCTGCCGCCGCTGCCGCCAGTACAGCTTGTTTCTGCGCACGCGCGGCTCGTCTTTCCCTTTACTCTTCTCTTCCTCCTCCTCCTCACCCCCGCCCCCCGCTCGCGGGCTTCAACTGCCGGGCATCACCTGCATCGTACGGCTTCAAGAAGCCCCTCTGTGCCCCGTTCTTCTTTTTCTCTCGCTCCCGCTTAACAACTACTTCGACCTGGAGGAGGCGGAGGAGACTCACGCGGGCCCAGCCAGAGCTAAAACTACGTTACCCCTGAGACCATCTGTGGCATAGATTTATGTGTAGACTTGTGCGCAGCCTGCAGCTTCCGCTTTAATTTTATTCACTTGTATTCTGCCCGTACCGTGCGGGCGGAAAACAGCGGAAAACTCACCATTTTAATCCAGTTGTGATTAGACAGAAATATATATTTTCTTCACTCTCAAGACTATTGGTTATGGTGGCTCTTCCCCCCCCCCCGGATTCCGTTCAGCGCTAGAATTAGGCTGACCGAGGGTCTCTGGACGAACTTTTACGGAAACTGCATAACCTCTTCCCTAATCTTTTTGCTGCTATCGAATGAAAGCAAAACGTACATTTTGGAATTTTCTCTCGTTTGTAAGGGTAGTTTTCTCTCTCCGTTGGTAAAAAGGGGAAACGAGCGCAAATGAAACCTACAACATTTTTCACTCTGTCGTACTTCTATATACTGCTACTGGCCGGGGTTGGTTCTGCTTCCCACAATGCACCACACTTTCCCGTTCACTACATTTCCCACAGAGCACTGCAGCCAGAAAACTACAATCCCCAAAAGGTGCAAAAGCCGGGTAAGAGAAGCGGACGAGCAGCTAGGACTAGCTAGGGGGTCTGGAGTTTGCTCCCCCTGCCCGTCTCGCGTGGCGCTCAGGGATTGCAGGGCGGCTGAGCGAAGGCCGAAGGCTGGTGTGGGCCTAGGTTTAAAGGGCGGCGCCGTTTAAAGTCCGTCCGCTCCGATGGGGGAGGGCTGAGGGACCATTGGGCACCTGAGAGCAGGAGGAGGAAGGGCGGGGAATGGGCTTGGTGATGGGACGTGGCTCGGACTCTCCTGGGTGAAGCGATGTCACTCGTCCGTCGGCGGAGCCGGGAAAAGAAGGGGGAGTGTGAATACAGCGGTAGGGGTCGGGTTTGAGGGGTGAAGAAAGGTGAGGGGTGGTGGCACCATCAAGGTGTTTCTAGGGTAGGGAGAGGTCGGAGTGATTTTTATTCTGGTTTTAATTGGGACGGGGTGGTGGTGGAAACAAGCGAAGGAATCCCTAAACGACCTTTCCCCCCCCCTTCTTCTTCATCTTTGGTAGAATGCAGCTGACGTTCCCCCCCCCTTCAAATATGCCCTAGAAAGGAAAAAAAAAAGTTTCTCCAAACTGGTTTTTGTTTGAACCTGGACCTACCAGGACGCTGGTGTAAGCCTACCCTCAAATACGATGGGGGGTTCATTACAGCAGCTTCACTTAGGAGAATGTGGGAGAAATGCTTCCTGAGCAGCCTTCCTCCCTGTGGTGTTTTTCAGGTATGTTGGCCACCAATGATTATCATCCTCAACTCTGCTGGCTGTGGGGATGGAAGCCCCCTAAAAGGCAGCAGGATGGGAGAGGCTGGTTTTAGGTCCTACACTTGCTTCTGTACTATATTGTCCTTCACATAAATAACGTCTATCTTATAAGTCATCAATTTTAAAAAGACAGGAAGCTGGTAACCTTAATGATTCTTTAAATGAGCTATATAGAAATGCATGTACACCTAATCGATTCATCTTTAACTGGTGTTCTAACGAATATGTCAAAAATGCCATTTGTATTATAATGAATTTACTGCATCAATGTCTATAGTAGTACCTTAAGCTTAGATCCTGACTCTGTTAAGCAAATAACTATGCAAGCAGCTATCAAACTTAATAGCAGCTGGCAATCCATAATTTTGAAGGGACTGTAAGGACCCACCCCACTTTGCATCTTAAGAAGACAGAACTCTTGGAATAGTTCTTCCAAAAGGAATCCTTTATTAAGAGAAAATGGTTGCAGGCATGCTAGACAGGACTTGGGGTCCAAGCTCTCCCATTCAAGGTTTCAAGGGGTTCCCCAGTAGTCCCACCCAATCAACCCCCCTTCCCAGTGATAGTTTCAAGTATCACAATTCCACCCCGTTTCTTCTTTCTTCCGTCTGGATGGAGACTTCAGATAACTACATGAAAGGCAAATACTCTTCTTTGTTAATGCTAATGTTCTCTGGTGTTAACGCTTTGAGGTTACAATAGGTTACAATAAACACACATTCAGCATTCAGCTCTTTGAAGTCTACTGAAGGAAGTGAGGGCCATAAAGCCCTTTTGTTCTCCCCCTTCTCTCCCTCTTATGGCAGAATCCAAAGAAGGCAGAATTGGGAGTTTCTATATTTGATAATTAAAGATGAAATATGATTGGATTCTGACATCCGGCCCCTCTTAAAAATAAGAGAGATCCACCTGAAAGAAAATACAAGTATAAAATTTAGTCAGGCTTGTTAGGATACTCTGTGTGAAACTTCTTCAATAGCTTCGGGGCTCTGACATGACGTTTATGGACCCACTCATTTTGTGAGGGAGGAGGTGTTTCCAGGCAACTAGGTACTGAGTTGCTCCATGATATCTCCTAGAGTCAAGGATTTCCTTTATTTCGAAGTGTTGTTCACCCTCCACCATGATTGGAGGTGGTGGGGGGGGGATTTTTGGCCGTAGAGGTGACTGATGCTCTCTTTTCAGCAAGCTGCAATGAAAAATTGGGTGTATTTGCCTGAGATTTTTGGGTAATTCTAATTCTACTGTTACTGGATTTATGATTCTTTTAATTGGAAAAGGTCCTATATATTTTGGTCCAAGTTTTTTACAGGGCTGTAGGGACTTTAGGTATTTTGTAGATAAGTACACCATTTCTCCTATAATGAATGGTGTAGGCTCAACCCTTTTTTTATCGGCTTGTGTTTTGTAAGCCTGCCTAGCTTCATCTAGTGCTTTTCTGACTATTGGCCAGGTGTTTTATAATTTTTCCATCCATTCTTTCAGCGAGGGGATCGTTGGTTCGTTTGGGGTTAATTCTGGCATGGGGTTGAAACTTTGACCGGTGGCTATTTGAAAAGGAGTGTAACCTGTGCTGGAGTGGACTGCATTATTGTAGGCAACTTCTGCAAAGGGGAGTAAGTCCGCCCACTCGGTCTGCTGGAAACTAAGAAAACATCTTAAATATTGCTTAAGTACTGAGTTCATTTTTTCAGCCCCCCCATTTCCTTGAGGGTGGTGGCTAGATGTCAGTCCCTGAGTGGTTCCTAAGAGGGATAAAAATTCCTTCCAAAATGCAGACGTAAATTGCACCCCCCTGTCAGAGATGATGCGTTGGGGTGCCCCATGCAATCTGTAAATGTGTTGGATGAAAAGTTTTGCTAAGGCTTTTGCAGTGGGAATCTTTTGGCAAGGGATAAAGTGCACCTGTTTGGAAAACAAGTCCGTGACCGTCCAGACCACAGTATTCCCATTGCTTTCTGGCAATTCCACTATAAAATCCATGGCTATTTCTCTCCAGGGGGCTGAGGGACTTGCCACTGTTTGCAATAGTCCTGGCACTTTCCCTTGCAACCTCTTTGCCGTGGCACATTTTGGACAACTGGCTATATAACTTTCAATGTCCTTTTTCATGGATGGCCACCAAAATTGCCGTTTAATTAATGTAAAGTTTACACATCCAAAATGCCCTGCGTGATTTTGTTTGTCATGGCAAAGGTTCATGAAAATTACTCTTTGAGTTGTTGGTATATATAACTTTTCCCCTATCCAAGGCAACCCGTCTCTCATTGTGCACACATTTTTGTTTTTCTGGAACCAATCATCTGTTTCCAAACTTTTTCTGAATTCAATCCCAGTTTGGCTGTCCAGTTGTGGTTTTATTTTGGCTTGGGGTCTTGTGGTTACTGGCGCTGCCAGTTGTGATTCTGCCATTATTGGTCTAGAGTCTGTGGTTCGTGCGCTGTTATATTGGGGCATGCGAGATAGTGCATCTGCCAGGAAGTTCTTTCTTCCTGGTAAATGTTTGAGCTTAAATTGGAAATGGGAAAATGCTGGGACCAGCGGGCTTGTTTGGGATTGAGTTTCCTGGAAGTTTTCAGGGCTTCTAAAATTTTGTGATCAGTCCACACCTGGAAGGGGATTTTGTTGCCTTCCAGGAACTGTCGCCATGTGAGTAATGCCCAACGTATCCCATATGCCTCCTTCTCCCATGCGGGCCAGCGCTGTTCTGTTTCCATGAGTTTCTTGGATGTATATGCACAGGGTTGCAATACCCCTTCATTGTTTTCTTGTAATAGCACAGCCCCCACTACCACATCACTTGCATTTGCCTGTATTATGAAGGGCTTGTCCATGTCTGGGGTGCATTAGTATGGTTCGGCAGGTAATAAAAGTCTCTTTATCTCTCAACGCTGCTTGGCCACTCCATTGTCCAGTAGTGGTGCTAGGAGTTTTACTGAGGATGTTCCCTTCGTTTTAGTAAAGTTGGTGAGGGGCAGGCTATTGTGCAAATGAGGGGATGAATTGGCGGTAAAAATTTGCAAGCCAGGAAACTTGTAGTTGCTTCTTGGGACGGGTGGTGCCCCATTTCTAATACTGCTCTGACCTTGCCTGGGTCCATTCAATGCACTTGGGGATATGCGATAGCCTAGGTAGTCTACCTTTCCTGGTGGAATTGCATTTGAGATGGCATATAGGTGAGCGGGCTCGCGTTCTTTAAAACCGCTCTGACAAGTTTGACGTGTTCTTCTTTTGTTTCAGTAAAGATAAGAATGTCGTCCAAGTAAACAAGGACCCCCTTAAACAGGTGCTCCCTTAGAACGTCAATGATTAATTGCATAAAGACTGCAGGGCCCCCTTGTAATCCAAATGGCAAGACTTTGAATTGATAGCACCCCATGGGGCAGTTAAATGCAGTCTTCCATTCGTCCCCTTCCTTGATTCTTACGCGATAGTAAGCTTCCCTTAAGTCTAGTTTAGAAAAAATTTTCCCTTTCGATAGGTGTGACAGCATGTCTTTCATGAGGGGCAGCGGGTATAGGTTGCTTTCACT